ACACACACACACACACACACACACACACACACACACGTCAATGTTCTATAATACAACTTAACTCATATTTATTTTAAAAATAGTGTGTAGACCATGTGATCTTTCATATACAATTCAAGTTTAAAGCTGCATAACTCTCATTTCTTTCAATCCTGTAAGTGTGTTGCTGTGTTACTCTGTCTATACTTGCAATCTGAAATTAACATAATACTACCATGAGAGCAAGGCCCAAGCCAAACAACTCTATTCCAAGTCCCATAATCCTTGAATACATGTAATATTTAAATGAAGAAAAACCCTTTATCCTTAAACACCTAAGATCTTTAAAGAACACTGTTTCCTACCACATGGCAATGAGCTCAGTCACACTCTAGGGAGCTTTTGCATGCTGCCCAGTGGCCAGTACTGACCATTCAGACGGTCACAACCCACGTTAAAAAAAAAAAAAAAAAACATGTAAGCAACATTTTTGTGAGGTGAAGGTGTTTTATACTTTAGCTCTAAGAAATGCTAAAAAATATCATATGTATCTATCTCTGAATCCGTGAAGTCTAAATGGAGCATCTTGCTGAAAAATATGAAGTCTCTGCCATAAGTTTCAGTATGTTCCTATATAGAAGCAAGTGATTTCTATTAATTCTTCGCTTGGTTTTTTGTTTTTGAAATGGGGTCTTGCTTTGTCACCCAGACTGGAGTGCAGTGGTGTGATCACAGCTCACTGTAGCTTCAATCTCCCAGGCTCAAGTGATCCTTCCACCTCAGCCTCCTAGGTAGCTGGAACCACAGGTACAAGCCATCATGCCCAGCTAATCTTTATATTTTTTGTAGAGGTGGGGTCTCAATATATTACCCAGACTGGTCTTGAACTCCTAGGCTCAAGTGATCCTCTCACGTCAACCCCCCAAAGTGCTGGTATTATGAGTGTGAACCAATGAGTCTGATCTCTTTACTAATTTTTTTATCAAAAAATCATTCACATAGAAATCAATCACATACCCAGTGATTAAGGGTACTATTAAAGAGCCAAATTTCATGGAAATACTACTTCAGACTCCTGGCTAGGGAGATTTGTTCCTGAAACAACAGGAAAAATATGGAAAGAACTAAGTGAACTCTATTAAGGAACCAATAAAGCAGGGATGAGCTGTTCACTTAGCAGCTGCCCCCCAAGAGGCTTAGCCTGAGGAAAGGCTGAGAAGAAGGGAAATGTCATTTTTTAAAGACAGAAAGGAGAGCTGTAAATCCAAGGGGGGAAGATAATGCTGAAACATGTAATGTCTTACAGAATAAATATTATTTGTAATTCCAATCCAAGGACTTGTAGTGCTGGCAGGGCATTAGGAAACAACTTTCTGGGTCTCTAGGGAGTTAGAATTTCTCTCTTCTTTTGAGAAGGTCCACAGTAATATCCAGCCTCCCTGTCATCCTTCCTTACCCATGTGGTGATTGAACTCACTGCCTTTCAAGAAATTCCATCCTTTTCTTCTCCCTGGAATAAATTCTTTAATTCTCGCTGCACCTTTCTTGTTACTCCATTTTTTCCTGGGGTCTTTTTCTACTGAAATCCTATGACAGCTCTTAAGTAATGTTGTCTCAAAATTTTCCCTTGGTTAGTCTTCATTTACCGTGTGGATTGAGACTCTATAGCAAGTTCTGAATTTTCTATCTTTTTTTTTTTTTTTTTTTTTTTTTTTTTTTTTTTTTTTTTTTTTTTTTTTTTTTTTTTTTTTTTTTTTTTTTTTTTTTTTTTTTTTTTTTAAGATGGAGTCTTGCTCTGTCACCCAGTCTGGAGTGCAATGGCACAAGCTTGGCTCACCACAATCTCTGCCTCCGGGATTTAAGTGATTCTCCTGCCTCAGCCACATGAGTAGCTGGGATTACAGGCACATACCACCACACCCAGCTAATATTTGTATTTTCAGTAGAGACAGGTTTTCACAATGTTGGCCAGGTTGGTTTCAAACTCCTGACCTTGTGATCCACCTGCCTCTGCCTCCCAAAGTGCTGTGATTACAGGCATAAGCCACCGCACCTAGCCTTACATTTTTTTTTTTTGGGGTACAATCCTAGGTATCAAGTAGAGATTCAGTAACTACTTTCTGTCTGATGTGCTTCAAATAAAATCTGTCATTGACCCACTTATTTGTAGAATATTAATTATCAGCAAAATCTAAGATATCAAAAGCATTTAAGAGGGTTTAATCTCTACCATCATCTGGCTGAAATAAAAATTTGGCATAGAAAAGGGTGGAAGAGTGTGTGTGTGTGTGTGTTCCTGTTTTATGATGCATAAAATTATAAAAAAGATATTTAATAATAATGTTTTCAGTTAATCAAAATTAAGTTCCCAAAAGAAAAAACTACCTACAAGATAAATACAATGTGACTTCATAAGGACCATAACACTGGTCAACAGTCCCAAGAGGAAAATAATCTCTTTTAGGTTCTGCTACTGCTGTTCGAATTTACTGGTTATTTTAACTATTGCTGTCACTGAGTTATTGGAAAAACTCAGGTAGGTTTGGTATCATTGCTATGAAACTGGAAGAATAAAGTAAAATCCTAATTAATTAAGCTGACTGGAGAGAAGGCCAATTTTATTACTGTTAATAAGGCTGACACTCAACCTTTATTGACTGTTATATGCGAAGCACTGGTCCAACAGATTTGCACATATTGAGTTACCGTATTCTTGTAATAATCCTATGAAGCAGGTACTTTTGTTATTCCCATTTTCTATATAGAAAAACCGAGGGCCAGGAAAGTTAGACAACTTGCCCAAGGTCATACAGCAGTGTTAGAGATGGGATTCAAACCCAACCAGTTCAGTTCCAGGGTCCAAACTCCTAAACACTGCCATTCCTGTCCACAATAATACACTGATCAGAACCAGACCGAGGAATGCTAGAAAATCCAACAAGGAAAAAATATTCCCCAATATGTTAAATTAGATGCATGACTTATTATTATAAAACTGTGACTAAATTCCAATCCACTTTATTCTAATTTAGTTGAAACATTTGCACATTTTGAGTTTTCAAAAATATGTATTCAGCTGAAAAGCAGTATCTATTTATGTTGATCTGAATTTGTGCTGCAGGATTTGTAAGCTGTTGACGGAGTGGAAATGTCATGGACTAAGCTAAAACATCTCTGAATATGGTCTCTCAAGTAATGTAACCATAAATAAAGAAACAGTTGTGCTTCTAAAAATAAGCTCATATTTTAAGTTGTTCATCCAAGGCAAATGTCTTTGGAATTCTTCATATAAGCCCAAATATGATGTTTTCAAGTCTTCATTTCAAAAACCTTACAGCTTCATGCTACCCCTCTGGTCCCCACAAGAGTATCTGACCTAAGACCTATTCCACTCTCCAAAACCAACCTCTTTCCTCCCTCTGAACCCAAGTACCACTCCCTGAAGCTAGAATTACTCTATTCAGTCTGAAAAGATTTAACATAAAAATATGAATGCCCTTGGCCCTTGAAATTTTCCAAAGGCTTTTGTGTTTTAGACAGAGGGTACCTTGATAGTCCCAATGAATCTCTAATTGGCAGAATTATTAGGGTATTACAAAGGGTGTCAACAGAGATATGGCTATAGTAAAAGTGGTATCTTGGAGCAAAGAAGTTATCAAAACATCATCCTAACCCAAAAAAGGTAAAAATGTCTTCTTTCCACTTCTGACCTAATACAGCTAACATTAAGGTTAGAACAAATGTAGGAGTTTGTTCCTACAGATGTTCCTCTGGCTACTGAAGTAGGGGAAGAAGCTGTTACTTGCATGCATGGGTCATTTAAAAGGAAATTATTTGCAAACTGGGGTTGACCTGGATCTTTCTTGCAGAACAGAACCGTTTCCTATAGGTGTAACAAGGGGGAGGGGAGGCTCTTATTGTTTTGAAAATTTCATAATTCCTTCAACAAAAATTATTATTGTTAAGCATTGTGCCAGACTAGAGTGCCAAAGGAGAATGTTCTTTTTATTAACCTTCATTGTGAACAAAAGAAGGTATGGCATATCCAAACGATTCCAACGGATTCATTAATCATTCCCTATGTTTGTCATTAGAGATAAAAAAATAAGCTATTCTTCCAGGCTCACAGTCTAGTGACAGACAATTTTTTGATGCCTGATGAAGAGTTATAATAACATGATAAGTCTAAGTGTGATGTACCTTGTCATTTTGACCTGGTTTTTTTTAACAGTGTTGTTATATTTTCCAGAAATCTAAAGAACTTTAAATAAGAAAAAACTATCTTAGAATCAGCACTTACCCATTTATCAATACAGAAATTTCTCCTCTGTTTCAGTCTCAGCCCAACACTCAGCTCCTAAAACTCTATTTCTGACTAACAGAAAGGCTAGATCTGTTCTTCACAGGTCACTATCTTTTGATGGAGTTCTGCAAAACTTTCCAGAAAGCGTATAACAAAAATGGCCAATAAGCCTCAGTGGAATCTAAAGTAAACTTGTCTCATCTGTTTAAATTCAGGTTCTGTTGAACTAATTAAAACCCTATTAACTTTCTAAGCCAGAATAAAATGTTGCTAGGGATTCTGTTTT